TGGCGATCCGGTGAGGCAGGCGTCCCACACTCCGGTGTCGCCGTCCGGCCTTTCGCGGCCCTAAGAAGAGGGTGTGGGTCGCGGGACCGGGACGTGGGGTACCCTGAAGCTGCAATCGCCCTCATTTCCCCACCCTTCACGGCGGTGTTCCGCCTGCCCCTGTTCTTTCCTTACTTTTAATCCAGTCGTCTTCATTTTGCCGGCGTTTATTCAACAAACGATAGGTCCCCACGTTCGCCGCCGGGGCATCCTGCCCTGCCTTCCCCCACGTTTTGCACCCTCGTACAGCTGTGACATCTCACCCGACTCTAAGGCCCATGGGAGCAGCGACTGATTCTTAACCGTCCCTAACTCTAGCACCTAAGACACACAGAATCCACAGAGAAAATGTTGAGTTGATAGCTGTTTGGATGCACAAGGCAAAACTGCCTGCCCCCTCTCTTATAATTCTCCACTGCCCTATTTCTTTAAATTCTCAATCACTTCTGTCTCCCTTCTCTCAGAAAAGGGCTCTGGTTATTTCCTTCCCGCCTGTGAGTTGGGAGGAGAAAGCTGCTCCATGTAGTTGAAAATAAGCAAGCTTTGGAGTCAAAGAGAGCTGGTATCTTAGTTCCCAGGTTGGCCCCTTGACTATAAATCTTCCAAGTATTCCAAGCTTCTTTTTGCCCCCACAGAATTGAGAATTGAGATACTTTTTTAGCAGCTGGCATGCGTCAACTCTCAGTCAGTCTGACTTCCCTTCCTTACCCCCACACCTCCATCCCTAGTAGTCAGTTCTGGGGACCCCAAGCCCATTCTGTCCTGGTTCTGCTTCCTCCTCTCCTCTCCCACCTCTGGACACGCCTTCACCAGAGTCCTTGCAGGGACTACTCTGCACCAGCACGTGGCTGGACACCTGTTTATGCACGCTCAGTGTTGCCCCATATCTCTGTGTTGTGTTTTTCCCTAGGGCACTTCCTCTCACATGCCAGTCCAGTTCCCCAGTACCTTAGTGACTAAGCTTGCTTCCCTCAAGGATGAATTTGTTTGACTTTAAAACCTGATTACATGTGTTTTACACACCAGTTTTGTTGTTTTGTTTGTTTTCCTCTTCTTTTTCTTTTTGCTGCCTGTTGACATCTCCCTTTTCCTTTCCAATAAGTTAGGACAGGTGGAGTCTGTACAATCAATGACCATCTTCAACCTGGGACAGGACAGAGGCAAACTAAAATACTTTTCATCTTTTTGACTCCAACAACATCCATGATGCCCACCCTGTGAAAGACTCACTATCTAAAAAGTAAGTAAGTGGTAGCTGCAGCTTCTGCCCCCCTGGAACTGGGTCGAGTGGAAAGGGCTGTGCTCAGCTAGCCTCCCAGGACAGTTCTCTTGGACGGGGTCCTCTTTGCATAGAGCCAGAGCTTACCAACTTGGGTTGAAAAAAACTACTGTACTTTCATTTGCTTCTCTGCTGAGAGCCCGTTTAAAGGCTGACAGTTCAGAAAGTGGCTGGGATCTGGGCTCCCTAAATAAGTAGTTTCTTATCTCCTTTTTTTTTTGTCTTTTTCTGCTGTGCTCGCTTTTTTCTCCCTCTCTGACCAGCAAAACTTGGCTCCTTATCAGAGTTCTTCTAAGAGTCTGCTCTGCCCCCTTTATCCTGTATACTCTTTTGTTTCAATTTCTCAGCTTCTCTGTTCCAGTTGTGCCAGCAGACGATCCGTGGATCCATTTTATTTTTCCTGCTAGGAGTTGCTGTGCATGAAACTGGGTAAGGAGGTGGTGTGGATTCAGGGACTGTGCTTGGGATCCAAACATACCATGCAATGAATTTTGCTACTGTTCTTCCTACACCCAAGAAACCTAACGCTCCTCAACTAATGGCATAGGTAAAAGCAAAGCTTTGATCCTTTGGAGTGCTATAGCAGTTTCCATTTAGAATTGGTGTGTTTCCAGTCTTAGGTTAGTGTCTGAATGTTCATACTGTGCTTTGGTACTTTTTTGCTATGGGAGTAGGTGACTGAAGATTAATAAGCCTTTCCCTAAAGTGTGATCCTTGGGATTTTAGAGGCTGTTACACAGAAGTATTTCTTCACTGAATTAATTTGGGAGATGCTGCATTAAATGCAGTTTAAGTAGGGCCTTAATAATAGGCCTTCTTTCCCCAAGTTCTTCACTTTGCTCATGTGCTCCAGGGGAGGGAACAGTAGCTCATGGTGTTTTACAAGTTGATTCCACTATGGAGCCCTTTTTGCAGGGAAAGTTGGGTGCAGCTAGAGTTCTGTGGACCACAGTTTAGGAGATCCCATGGTAAACTCTCTGAAATTATGATCTCCAGGGCACTTTGAGGTAATTATAAAAGCTGAAATTGGGCTGCTTAGTGTGTAACTGATACTAGAACTAGACCCTCTGGCCCAGCTCTGCTTGAGGGATAAGCTCTGTAATGCAGTTGGGACTATCAGGGCTTTCCAGAGGAGGAACAGGAACCCAGCTCCGTCCACCACTCTAGAAGGGCAGGAAGCCAGCAGGCAAAGCCCTGAGATAGTGAGGGCCCTATCTTGGTTTTTGTGTACATATTTTGTAACCCTGCTACTTTTGTGCACATAGGTACTTCCAATCTGTGCTTTGGAAGAATTAAATTTCAGAATCTGAAAGGTTCAACTCTTGACTCACTGAGCTCAGAATACTAAGAAACAGATACTTAGAAAAAAACAGAAAGCTGGTTTGGTTTTTTTTTTGCTTCTTTGGCTTGAGCTTAGCATTCTTCTTAGCAAACATTAGTTGGGGATTTTTTTTTTTTTTTTTGCTATAGGACACATTTGCTCTTTAGAGAGACAGTGAGAAATCACCCCCGGGGGCGGGGGGGAATAACCACACAACCTTGCCTTCTCTTCCATTCTTCTCTTAGGATTTTGGTGACCAGCATGAGTTTTAAGTGAGCAGGTCCTGAACTTGAATCACTGTCAGCCATGTGGGAATCCAGCAACACAACCATCAGGACATCTGCTTGTCCCTGAAATCTGTTTTTAAGACAAAGGGGAACGGGGTAATAGAGTGATGTTAACTAATGGAAACAAAATTGCAGATAGATAGAGAGAATGATATTTAGTGTTATAAAATATAGTGGGGAGAATGTAGTTGAAAACTTACTGTATACAGTATTACACATAGTTGACATAAGGGGTATACTAATTACCTTCATTTATACATTGTATGCCTGTACCAAAAAAATCACATTGTAAAAATTGTTATGTTAATAAAAAATGTTGGGACCAGCAGTTAGTGTAATGGCTATGTCACTGGACTCCCATGTAGTTGACCATGGCTTGAGTCCTGGACCCAGTGGCTTAAACTCACACCAGGCGCGTGTGCGTGTGTGCCTAAGATCCTGAGAAGAGAATGGAGGAGAAGGGATTGCAGCATGGCCATCCTCCTTGGGGGCTAATTTCTTGCTTTCTTTATCTCTGTCTCTCACTTTCTGGCAAGCAAACGTGCCCTATAGCAAAAACCTCTCAAAAAAAAAAAAAAAAAGTTAGGGGCCAACAGGGGGTATAGCAAAAACCTCTCATCCTCTATGGCCAAGCTACATCCTCTATGGCCAACTGTGTGGTTCCAGTCCTGGAACCAGTGGCTTGAAAAACACACTGGGCATGTATGCATGCCCAAAATTCTGAGAGGGGAATGGAGGAGAAGGGATTGTGGTATGGCCATCACCCTAGAGGGTGATTTCTCACTTTCTCTTTCTCTGTTTCTCTCTGATGAGTGAACATACCCTATTGTCCCCCCTCCAAAAAAAAAAAAAAAGAGAGAGAGAGAAAAGGGGATTTATATATCCAGGAATGGAAAGTGTGAAATGGTACCTCCTAGGGAAATTTTTTTTACTCATTTAAAAAAAAAAAAAAAAAAGAGAGAGAAAAGGGGATTTATATATCTAGGAATGGAAAGTGTGAAATGGTACCTCCTAGGGAATATTTATTTACTCATTTCATTGTATGTTTGTGTGCCCTGGAATTCATATGTTGAGATTGGATTGGAAAGGTGTTAAGAGGAAACTTAATGTCTTCATGGTTGAAAGATGGAACTTTGTGAGGGCTGAGATTAGGGTGGGGCACCTATGGTTGAGTTCTGGTGGGTTTATGGGAAGAACCTGAACAGAGATTGACAGTTAACTGCTTTCTGCCCATGTGATGTGATTGGGAGTTTGCAAGATGCCCACCAGATATGGGCCTTGGACCTTGGACCTCTAAACTGTGAGCTGAATAACCTCTGTTTTTATAAATCTCAGTTTTCTGTTAGCAACACAATAGCAGAACAAGACATCTTACTTCTCTCGTGGTTGTGGTGGAGGAAGGTAGAAATGGAGAGAGGTCCCTGCTCTGTGTCAGACTGGCAGTCTAGCAGCTCAGAACCTAGGCAAGGACATAGGAAAAAATCTGGTAAAGTTGTGTGTCCTCTGTGGGGCTGTCGGAGAAGGCTTCGGCAGGGAGTGGCACTTGAGTTGATTCTAGGACAAGAGTAGTATTCAAATGGGTGAAAAAGGAAAGAGGATTCCAGGTAGAAAGCAGAACACGCCACACAAACAGGGAATTTCAGATTGGGAATTAAGAGCCAGAGAAATCAAGAGTTTGGAGAAGTTTGGGGCATGCAGCTCAGGCTGGTCATGGTGAGAGGAGGGCAACTCCTGGACTGGCCGAACTCCTAGCAGGCCTCATAACCTTGAACCACTAAGCTTTCACTAGTGTACGTGCTTTTGAAATTTTCATTGCTTAACACTAATGCTTTTCGTTTCATTTCCTTTGGGCTTGTAAATAATGACTAGAACATAAAAGCATTTTCTTCTAAAAACCGTGCTGATGATCAAGAAATTCACTTCTTGCAAGCAAGTCACTTGTGAGGCTTGGCACTGCTGATTCTCCCCAGCAAAGCTGTGTATTCCATCTCGGGGTGGGGGAGGGGTGTGTTGGAGGAGTTGTTTCTGCCCTTCTTTGAAGGCTGGGGTTCATGGGTATGGAGCAGGGTGGGGGAAGTTTTGTGACTTGGCTGGTAGAGTTGATTATTATTATGACTTTCTAATATGTGACACTACCTTTGACCTTACTTGTGCTAAGCATGTGGCTTGTGTCATCATCTTTAGTCCTGCATGCAGTTTGTGTGGTATCTTACATTCATGAAGAAACCAAGGTTCTGAAATTAAATAACTGGTTTGAGTTTATGTGGGGCCTTCAAAAAGTTCGTGGAAAATGTGATTATGAAAAAACTTCTCATGTGGCCAGCCACTGGCACAGTAGTTAAGGGAGCTGGACTCCACATGGCCGACTTAACGTGGTTTGAGTCTTGGACCTGGCAGTTTGAGGAAACGCATGGAGTGTGTGTGTGTGTGTGTGTGTGTGTGTGTGTACGTGCCCAAAATCCCGAGAGGATAGAAGAGAAGGGATTGTACTATGGCCATCCCCCTTGGGGTGATTTCTTGCTTTCCCTCTCTCTGTCTCTCTGGTGAGCACATGTGTTCTATAGGAAAAATTAAAAAAAAAAAAAAAAAGAAAAAAAATTATGTGTGCATGTCAAATTTTTTTGCACTACAAAGATTTGTACTTTAATTCCATTTTTCCCCAATCTTTTAAAAGTTCCAATATATAGCCCAGAAATACTAGCTTGTTGGAAAAGTCATGTTTTTTTTTTCTTTTCTTTTTTTTTTTTTGAGAGGTTTCTCCTATAGGGCTTGCCAGAAAGAAAGTGAGAAATCATCCCCTAGGGGGGATGGCCAAGCCGCAGTCCCTTCTCCTCCATTCTCCTCTTGGGATCTTGGGCACACATGCACATGTGCCCAGCGTGAGTTTAAGCCACTGGGCCCGGGGCTCAAACCGTGGCCGACTACGTGGGAGTCCAGTGACATAGCCATTATGCCAACTGCTGGTCCCCATGACGTGTTTTTCTATGCAGAACGCATCATGACATTTTTGATGACCCAGTAGTATGATCATGACTAGAACTCAGCTCTGCCTAATTCCAGACTCTATCATATGTCCCATTCCAGGCCTCTCTTCAGTTTGGGTAACTTTCCTCTTCTGCCTGTCCATGTGCTCTTTGAGTCTTCCTTGGTGGGTCAGTATGAGACTGATTTCACGGCTCCTTTTCTGCTAATCTTATCTGTGTCGTCTTATTTCCAATTCCCTTTCTCAGAGCTCTGCTGTCTTACCTTTTTAAGCCCCTGACATGTGGCCTCTGTGCTGAGAAAGACAGCTTTCTGGGACCAGCAGTTAGCGTAACGGCTATGTCAGTGGACTCCCATGTAGTCGACAGCGGTTCGAGTCCTGGACCTGGCGGCTTAAACTCACGCAGGGCACGTGCGTGTGTGCCCAAGATCCTGAGAGGAGAGTGGAGGAGAAGGGATTGTGGCGTGGCCATCCCCCCTGGGGGGGTGACTTCTTGCTTTCTGTCTCTCTGTCTCTGTCTTTCCAGTGAGCGCATGCACCCTGTAGCAAAAACCTCTCCAAAAAAGAAAAAAAAAAAAATAGAAGAGAAAGACCGCTTTCTGCAGAGGTGGTGTTATACTGAGGAGGAAGGTAGAAGAAAAAGTAGGGTTTTTCCTCCTCCATCTCCTGAGGAATCACTAATAGTTAGAAAGATTGGGGCCAGCAGGTGGTGTGGTGGTTAAAGATGCTGGATTCTCACATGGCTGACCATGGTTCGAGTCCAGGACCTGGTGGATTGCTTTCTCGCTTTTCCTTTCTTTGTCTCTCTCATCAAATTAAATATTAATAACAATAACAAATAAAATAAATAAATAATTCTTTAAACAATAATTACAAAAGAATTTCGATTTGGGGAGTCTGCGTGGGTTGCTGTCTCACTGTGGGTCCGTCTGACTTTCTGTCCACTCTTTGGGATGGTTAGTTTTTAGCATTCCATCTTCATGCTCTTTTTCCAGATGTTCTTTCTTTTCAGGACCTCGTTTAGCACCCTTGGCACTGTTCGGAAGTTTCTTGAGTATCCTCATTCATGAGCAACACCTTCCTGTTTCCCAGCTGGAGTCAGTTAGGTGCTGGTGGAGTGGAGGGCTGCCGGTGCTCTGTGTGATTAGGGTGACTGGGAGAAAGGATAGGCAGGCACGCATGGCCGGGTGCACTGCCCTCGTCTTTGGAGGGGGCTTTTCGCTCGTACTTCCTAGGATCTGAGGGCTCTGCTAGACCAGGCACCCTCTCTATCGTGGGACTCTGAGAAAGGATTTGACAAGGATCCACTTTTGGCACAAAGGATTCCTGGTCACATCTGGATGCCACCTTCTCTGGTATTTCTGCCTCTTTGACCTTTGACTTTGGAGATAAACCTATGGCCCCTGAGATGTTATTGTGCTATGAAAAAAGAAGGCTACCAAGATGGCGTGATTGGGTGAAAGCAAGAGAGACAGCTGCACCACAGTAGACCAGTGATTGGTGTTGACAGTGCTTGCCACAAGATACTGGGGTTGTGGGTTTACTTTTCCTGTAGTTCTCATATTTTCTTCCCTCCCTCTTTTTTTTTTTTTTTTTTTAATTAAGGTTTTTGCTATAGGGCATGTGTGTTCTCCAGAGAAAGACAGAGAAACAGAGAGAAGGAAAAATCACCCCCTAGGGAGCATGGCCATGCTGCGATCCCTTCTCCTCTGCTCTCCTCTCAGGATTTTGGGCATACACATACACACACACACACACAGAGTGATTTTCATGCCACTGGGTCCGGGGCTCTAACTGCAGTCAGCCATGGGAGTCCTGCACCTTGATCACTATGCCACCTACTGGCCCCTGTCTTCTCTCTTATAATTGGCAGAGAGTATGTGTGCTCACTTGAGTGAAGGAGGAAGCAGCCCCAATAGGGCATGGCCATGCTGCAGCCCCTTTTCCATTTTTCCATCTGTTGTGATTTGAGGCATGCATGCACATGTGTAGGGTATATCTTACAAGTTGTTGGAGCCAGATTCCATCTGTGATTGGCCATGTGGAATTTAGCTCTTTCTCTCTCTTTTTATTTTAAAGAATTACTTATTTTATTTTATTTGTTATTATTATTGTTATTCTTCAGTTTGATCAGGGAGAGAGAGCAAGAGAAAGCAAGCTGCCAGCTTCTGGACTTGAACCACAGTCAGCCATGTGAGAGTCCAGCACCTTAACCACCACGCTACCTGCCAGCCCCAGGATATAGCTCTTTTAATCACTAGTTTTACAGGGCTGGCTCCAGTTTCCAGATTTTCTGTAGTGCAGATATATTGTACTAAAAGAGAAAAATAAGTGTTTTTTTAACAGTACATTTAAACTTTTGTTTTTTTAGTTTATGATAGCATGCATGCACATGTATGTGAGAGGGAGAGAGAAAGGGAGAGGGAGCGAGAAAGAGGTAAGTACCCTCCAGGTGGTCTAGTCATGCCAAGAACCCCTTCTTCTAGTCCTCTAGCCTGTTGGATCTTGGGCACACGTGGGCATGCCCGATGTGATTTTCAGGCTGACCAGACTGGAGATTTAAACTGAACTGTGGTCTCCGGGTGGGATCTGGCTTCTCTTGAGCAGTGCTCTACCCTTGCATCTTGGAGTCAGCCCCCAATAAATGTTTTTGTTTGTTTGTTTGTTTTTGTTTTTGTTTTTGGAGAGGTTTTTGCTATAGGGCACGTGCGCTCGCCAGACAGACAGAGAGAGACATAGAGACAGAAAGCGAGAAATCACCCCCCAGAGGGGATGGTCACACTGCAATCCCTTCTCCTCCATTCTCCTCTTGGGATCTTGGGCACGCACACACATGCGTCCAGCGTGAGTTTTAAGCCACTGGGTCCGGGACGCGAACCGCGGTCAACTACCTGGGAGTCCAGCGATATAGCCATTATGCTAACTACTAATAAATGTTTTTAAAGTAAATTGTGCTCTTTCACTTGAGGATTACGTTTCCTTGTCCGCCTCTCCATGAAAAAGCCTGCTGGAGCCGTTAGGCCTAGGATAACAGAGTGGCCAGGGAAGGTGGTGGGACTCCCTGAACTTGCGTCTCTTTCCTTTCACTGTTCAGTGCTTTTTGTCCAATTTCTGTCACACTCCTCCGCTTAAGATTCAGGAGGGCCTCTCTGGGTCACCTCATGATCCCTCCTATCTCTCTTAAGGTGGGGAAGGCAAGGCAAGGAACAGTCCTCACTAGACCTGACCTCGGACAGTCTGAGGGCCCTTGCTGTGTGACAGGGAGACTGAACCAAGTGTCCTGAGAGGGCCTTTCTTATTCTCAAGATGCTGGCTCTTATCTTTCCATCTGTTGGTCGAGTCCTGGATGGCCCCATATTCTTGATGGAACGCAGAACTGTTTCTAGTGCTCCCCCTCAAACCCTGCCATATTCCACTGCAGGAAGTCCCGAGGACAGTGTTCCAGAGTTTACTCATGTTGTCTCCTCTTGCAGCGCGATGTCCCTGCTCTTTTCTCGATGCAACTCCATTGTCACAGTCAAGAAGGATAAGAGACACATGGCTGAGGTGAATGCTTCCCCGCTTAAGCACTTTGTCACTGCCAAGAAGAAGATCAATGGCATTTTTGAGCAGCTGGGGGCCTACATCCAGGAGAGCGCCACCTTCCTCGAAGGTGAGATGGACACCTGCTCAGCCACCCACTTTTGTCCGTTCGTTTGGCTATTCAGGGAGTGGGGAGTACAGCCCTGCTCTTGGGGAACTCATGACCGGTGGGCTGGCACCCTTAGTGAGGCTGAGGCTGTGCTTTTGCAGTTACATGGGGTTGGGCTTGGGGAAACTGCCATTTAAGAATCCATTTAAGAATTCCACCTATTTTGGGGGCCAGCAGGTGGTGTGGTGGTTAAGGGCGCTGGACTCCCACATGGCTGACCATGGATTAAGTCCTAGACCTGGCGGCTTGCCTTCTCTCTCTCTCTCTCACTCTGTCTCTGGGCAGAGTGAAATTAAAATAAATAAGTAAAGTTAAATAAAATAATTCTTTAAAAAAAAAAAAGAATTCCACCTATTTTGTTTCTTCTAGTCATGAGGGATAGGTGATACATGTCCCCAAATAAAGGGCAGATAGATTGCAATTTGAGAATTGTCTGATACTCTGTAAGTGACAATAGGGGGCTGTCCCCAGGTGTCCCAACTCCAGCACCCTGTGTTTGCCATGGCCTGGTCCTGGTCACCTCTACTACCTGCCAGTGCCTAGGTGCTGGTTATTCCTGACTAGGGTGTCCTCTCTTTGGTATTTTTACATTGGTGACGGGACTATAAATAGCAAACTCACGTCACCTCTGCCTTTTCTCCTAGTTACTAATTTGAGCTCAACCTGTAGTCCCTGTTCTCTCAGCAGAGAGGGTTCCAGGGCCCCACTCAATCTTATTGCCAGCTCCAGCCATTGGCTTTCTCAGCCTCCCTTTCTAGAAGAAAGGACTCCAGGTCCTAGGATTGTCCACGGAGGCCCAGTACTGAGTTTTACCTGCCCTGGGTTTCCTCATTTGTGACAAAGGGGCTCAGGTGCGGCTGGGGTTTCTGTAGAACCCTAGAAGTTCATTAAAGATATCCCAGTGGACCTTTGGCTTCCGTTCTTCTTGCAGCTAGAGCAGCTGGGCTTCCCATTGTTTTAGCCAGGCCACTACATGAGGGTCCCTTTGAGCAGAGGGACTATGTTCAGTCTCACTCCTCTGTGTGCCCTGCCCTTGGCATGGTGCTCAAGGCAAGAGAAGGTATCTCCTAAGTGTGTGTTGGGTTGTTGAGTCTGAATCTTAAGTCGTATGATTGGAGGTTGAAATGATTCTAATTTACTGCCCGTTTATTTAGCAGTATCTCTGGTGTGCCCAGCGCTGTGCCAGCCACGGGGTGTGCAGATATGGATAGCCTAGGTGCTTCCTCCGTGATGCTCTGAGTTCTTACTCAGATGCTGCTGTAGATAAACACGTGCTTGATGGAGGAGTTTCTGTGGTGGGTACTTGGACTTCTTTTTATGTACATGTGAGGGTTCCCCTGTTGGCTCAGTGGAAGAGAAAGAGCTAGAGTGAGTAATCCTGAGCTGTGTTTGGGATACAGGGAGCAGATGACTCCTGCCTGGGGACTGCTTTCTAAAGGGCAGGTGACAAGAGCTTAACAGCCTGCTGGCTGTTGCTTTAAAACAGAGCCATGGGCATGAGAGCCAGCTTCCTCTGAGGGGCATTCCAAAGGCCATGCCCACAGGCCCATGTAAGGGCAGAGTGTCAGTAGGTCTGGGGCGGGGCTGACTGGGGTACATGGAATGTGGGTGCTTGTTGGCTCAGTCACTTCCTTTCGTGGCACTAGCTGCAGGGAAAATGAACCAGGAAGTTTGTGACATGCCACCAGGGCTCTGGATGTTTTTTTGAGTGTTCTCAGGGTGGGACCTATCACCATGGTGGTTCAAAAGGGTGTACCAAGGGGCCAAACACCCATCTGCCTCCCAACCAACCACAGCACCTATCTGGTGCAACTGCTAGATGGGATGGGGGCCAGGTCTTCCTCTGTTGCTTCTGTCTGTCATAACACCTTAGCTATATGCCTCCTGAGGGCGCTGGACAAAGCCATGCAGTGATCCAGGTACACCTCTCCTTACCGTGTCTGTGTACTCATGGGGGCTGGGCTCAGGTAGTTTGGTCCTGTCATGGCAGATATGCAGACAAGTGAGCTAGATGGTAACATTATGGCGAGGTACATGCTAAGAACTGAGAAGTACAGACAAGGGTGACCTGATTCAAGCTGGGAACTGTGCTGTCTGATCTAGACCAGAGGCCAAGTGGAAACCACTCCCAGGCAGTATGGCAGTTCAGGGAGTGGGTGAGAGGTTTTGGGTAGCAGTGAACAGAACCCAGAGAAGTGAGGAAGCTGGTGTTTTGGAGGATATGGTGAATTGGAGTGAGAGGCAGAGAGGTGGCAGGAGATGAGTCTGAGGAGACCAGCAGGGCCAGATCAAGAAGAACCTTGTAAAGTGATAGAGTAGTTAAGAGCCTGCATTAGCAGGTGTCATGGTGGTTAAGGTACTGGGCTTCCACATGGCTGACCGTGGTTTGAGTCCCAGACCTGATGACTTCAGAATTACGCTGGGTATGTGTTTGTGTGTGTGTGCCCAAAATCCTGAGAAGAGAATGGAGAAGAGTTACAACATGGCTGTCTCCCCAGGGTGTGATTTCTCCCTCTCCCTCTCTCTGACTCTCTTTGGTGAATGCACATGTAGAAACCTAACCGAACAAACAAAAAAGCCTGGATGCCAGAGCCAGGTTACTGGTTCAGATCCCAACTCCAGGATTTACTAACTCTGTAGTGTAAATAATGAGAATCAAATGAGATTGTGTTTGAAAGTGACTAGTATAAAATAAATGAATAGGGGACCAGCAGGTGGTGTGGTTAAGGCGCTGGACATTCCCATATGGCCAACCATGGTTCAAGTCCTGGACCTGGTGGTTTGCTTTCTCACTTTCTCTCTCTCTCTCTGTCTGTCTCTCTGGTCAAAATAAAATAAGTGAATGAGTAAATAAAATAAAAAATATTAAAAAAGAGTATTGCACTTTGGTTTAAAAAAATAAATAAAAAATAAAATAAATGATTAAGTGATTGACTTTTTTTTGGCGAGAGGTTTTTGCTATAGGTTGCTTGTGCTTGCCAGAAAGACAAAGAGACAGAAAGCGAGAAATCACTCCATGGGGGAATGGCCATGCTGCGATCCCTTCTCTTCCATTCTTCTCTCGGGCTCGTGGGCACACACACACACACACCCAGTGTGAGTTTAAGCCACTGGGTCCGGGACTCGAACCGCAGTCGACTACATAGGAGTCCAGTGACAGCCATTATGCCAATTGCTGGTCCCAAAGTGATAGACTCTTAACAGTGGTAAGATACCGATCCTTAAAGATTTATGACACGGGGCCAGCAGGTGGCATGGTGGTGAAGGTGCTGGACATTTCCACATGGCCGACCACGGTTTGAGTCCTGGATTTGGGGGCTTGCTTTCTCACTTTCCCCCTCTCTCTCTCTCTCTCTCGGAGTGTCTGTGTCTCTCTGGTCAAATTAAAATAAAATTAATTAATAAATAAAAATAATTCTTTGAGGGAAGTTGCTGCCCAATGCCTGATTGTGTGGGCTTATTAGGGGTGTTGCCTGACAGATCCGGACGGTCTGGGTTCGCAAAAGAATCAAGGTGTCTTTGACTAGAGATTGACATTCATCCTTGGAAGAGGAAAAGAAAAAACATAAAAAGAAACAGCTAGTTCAAAGTTCAAATTCTTACTGCATGGGTGTAAAATGTCCAGGCTGCTACAAGATCACTACGGTCTTCAGTCATGCTCAGACAGTGGTTCTCTGTGTTGGGTGTTCACCAGTGCTGTGCCAGACAACTGGGGAAAGGCCAGACTCACAGAAGATTGTTCATTTAGAAGCAAGCAACACTAATGATCTACGCAACTTGCTGAATTTGTTGTTTTCTCACTGAAAGCCTTATCATATCTGCCAAGATAATGTAATTGCATTTGATTTTGTAAAGTATACAACAATGATCTCCTATTTTGATGTTAGTTTTTCAATAAAGTTTTGAATATGAGTAAAAGAAAAAATAATTCTTTAAAAAATGATTTATGATATAATGCATTGGATTTTGTTTATCAAAATAAGAGTTACCGTTTAAGAGTGTTTAAAACAAATCTGTGAGTTGTTTAAATAGTTCTCTATATAGAGTTACCTGCTTAATTAGTAAAATGCAGCAGTGAAACAAGCTTCTTCTAACCTAGAGTCTTTCCACATTCCTTTAAATGTCTACAAAAGGCAAGTTTTTTCTTTTCTTTTTTTTCCTTTTTAGAGCTTTTGCTGTAAGCTGCATACACTGGCAGAAAGTGCGAAATTACCTCCCCTCCTCCCAGGGTCATGCTACAATCCCCTCTCCTCTACTCTCCTTTTGGGACCTTGGGCATACACGTACATGTGCTCAGTGAGTTTCAAGCCGCCAGATCTAGGACTGGTCAGCCATGTGGGAGTCCAGCTGGCCTCCCAAAAGGAAAGTTTTAAAAATGTAGTAGAGGCCGGCAGGTGGCGTGGTGGTTAATGGCACTGGACTTCCACATGGCTGACTGTGGTTTGAGTCCTGGACTTGGTGAGTTGCTTTCTCATTTTCTCTCTCTCTTTCTGGTCAAATTTAAATAAATAAATAACGTTAAATTAAAAAAAAAAATTCTTTAAAAAAATGTATTAGTAGAAGCAAAACATTTAAGGGACACAAAAATGGAAAATTATCTCTTGATGACAATGTGTATGATAATATCTTTAGCTGGACTAATATGAATTGTATTCATGCTGGGAAAATTCATTTTGCATGCTATAATGACATAGTAATTAAATATATAAAAAAATAAAATATATATAAAAAATGAAAATGTATTAGTTGTTAAACAAAAAAAGAAAAGAAGTAACTAGTGAGACCAGCAGATGGTGTAGTGGTTAAGGTGCTAGACACTCCCACATGGCTGACCACGGTTCGAATCGGAGACCTGGTAGCTTGCTTTCTCACTTTTTCTTTCTCTCTCTCTCGTCAAATTAAAAAATAAGCGAATGAATAAATAAAGTTAAAATAATTCTTTAAAAAGAAAAAAAAAGAAAGTGACTAGTATAGTACTTGGCATGTAGTGAGAACTTTGTTAAGAAATAACAAATAAGGATAGCAGTTAACATTCAGATATTCCTCTTATACCAACCCCCATTCTTAGAACTTGCTGTTTTTGTTCATTTGATCCTCTTAATAGTCACAGGAAGTAGATACTGTTATCTCCTTTTTATGAGTGAGGGAACTAAGACCCTGAAAAGTTCATTTGCCCGAAGGTGCAGAGCCAGGCAGTGATAAGAGCCGACTTGGCACTGGTAGTCTTGCCACCCTCCTGTACCTTCCTGTGTTAAGTAATCTTTTCTTTTTATTTTTTTTGGAGAGGTTTTCGCTATAGGGCACGTGCACTCGCCAGACAGAGAGAGATATAGAGACAGAAAGCGAGAAATCATGCCCCAGGGAGGATGGTCACTGCACAATCCCTTCTCCTCCTTTCTCCTCTTGGAATCTGGGGCCTTCACACACACGCGCCCGGCGTGAGTTTTAAGCCACCGGGTACGGGACGCGAACCGCGGTTGACTGTGTGGGAGTCCAGCGACATAGCCATTACACTAACTACTGGTTCCTGTGTGTTAAGTAATCTTGACCCCCACACCACAAGGGGAGCCATGGAGGCAGACTAATGATTTGATGGGCAAGGCTGTATTTTGGCCCTTCCAGGCTTGTGATCGTGGAGCTCCTCTGACCACATGATGACTTATTTCAATCTTCACCTCTAGATACCTACAGGAATGCAGAACTGGACCCTGTCACGACAGAAGAACAGGTTCTGGACGTTAAAGGTTACCTGTCCAAAGTGAGGGGTATCAGCGAGGTGTTGGCCCGGAGGCACATGAAAGTGGCTTTTTTTGGCCGGTGAGTCCTTGAAGCCCTCACACCTACTTTTTTCCTGGTTGAGAGGGAGGGAGGCACTTTGGAGGCTGTAGTCAGAGCACCCCAAGGGAACTAACGTGCCTCAGGTTCATCTTTTCCTTTTATTTTTAACTTTTATATTGTAGTAAAATACATGTAATGTAAGATTGGTTATCATAACCGTTCCTCCCCAATTAATTAATTCTTTTTTTTAACACTAATCACTACATAGTTACAGCACACAGAATTAATTTTCCTCAGATGAATACACTGCATATTAGTCCAGTCACAGATACTCCCGTACATGTTACCATCAACAAGTAATTTTTTTTAGAGGGTTTTTTTCTATAGGGCATGTGTTCTCACCAGAAAGACAGAGAGAGACAGAGACAGAAAGCAAGAAATCACGCCCCAGGAGGTATGGCCACTCCACAATCCCTTTTCCTCCTCCATTTTCTCGGGATCTTGGACACGCACGCACACGCGCCCAGCGTGAGTTTAAGCCACTGGGTCCAGGACTTAAACCACAGTTGACTGCATGGGAGTCCAGCGACATAGCCATTATGCCAACTGCTGGTCCGAATAATTTTTCATTTTTGTATCTGTTAAATATTTTGCTTTTTTGGGGGGCCAGCAGGTGGCATGATGGTCAAGATGCTGGACTCCCACATGGCTGACTGTGGTTTGAGTCTTGGACCTGGTGGCTGACTTTCTCATTTGCTCTCTGTTTCTCGTGAGCACATGTGCCCTATAGCAACATTAACAAAATAGTAATAATAATAATAAATTAAATACATAATTCTAAAAAAAAGGAAAGTTTTGCTTTTTTTTCCCCCCTTGATTCTCTCCCTTTGTCCTTTGCCGTCCCACACTGTCTTTAGGATCCACAGTTGCTCTCCATACTTTTATACCTTCCAGTCTTTGAGTTTCTGCCATAGACATTCAGTATATACTAAGTGGGGACATACAATGCCTCTCTTGCGTAGTCTGGCTTGCTTCACTTGGCATTAAATCTTTCATTTTCATCCACTTTTTATCCAATGTCAGGGTCACATTGTTTTGTATCTTAACTCTTTTTTTTTTTTTTGGGGAGTTTCTCACCAGAAAGACAGAGACAGAGAGACAGAAAGTAAGAAATCACCCCCCAAGGGGGGATGGCCATGCCACAATCCCTTCTCCTACATTCTCTTGGGGTCTTGGGGCATGCACGCACATGCTCCTGGTGTGAGTTTAAGCCACTGGGTCTGGGACTTGAACCACGGTCAACTATGTGGGAGTCCAGTGACATAACCATTATGCCAACTGCTGGTCTCCATGTATCTTAACTATTTTAAATTGTATATGGGGACTTCAAAAAGTTCATGGAAAAATGGAATTAAAGTATGAGTCTTTTTTGAGTCCAAAAAATTTGAAATCTATGGAAAATTTTTTAATAAAATATATTTTCCATAAACTTTTTGAAGATCTCTCATCTAGCTTAGTAGTATTAAATATATTTGCATTGTTGTGCACTTCATCTCCAAAGCTTTTTCATCTTGTAAAACTGAAACCGTTCCACTTAAACACTAACTTGTCATTCTCCCTACCTCCTAGTCCATAGCAACACCATCTGTCTATCTATGAGTGTGACTACTCTTGATATCTCACATAAGTGGAATCATATCATATTTGTCTTTTTGTGACTGGCTTCTTTCACTTAATGTAGTGTCCTCCAAGTTCATCCATGTTGTAGCATATATCAGAATTTCTTTTATTTTTTTGAGAGATTTTTTTGCTATGTGCATGTGTGCTCGCTGGAGAGAGAGCAAGAGACAGACAGAAAAGAAAAAATCACCCCCTGGGGGATGGCCTCACCACAATTCGTTCTCTAATCTCCTCTCAAGATTTTGGGCATGTACGCAAATGCACCCAGCATGAATTTTAAGCTGCCAGATCCAGGACTCAAACTGTGGTTGGCTATGTGGGAGTCCAGTAATGTAACCATTATGCCATCTGCTGGTCCCAGAATTTCTTTCTTTTTTAAGGTCGAATACTAGTTCATTATATATATAGATCACCACATTTTGTGTATCTATTCATCAGCTAATGGACACAGATTGCTTCTACCTTTTGGCTACAGCAAATAATGCTGCTGTGAACATGGGGGTACAAATATCTGAGTCTCTGCTTTCAATTGTTTTGGATATATACATAGAAATGGAATTGATAGGTCATATAAAATTCTATTTTTAGTATGGGGGAACTACTGTATAACTGTACCATATTATATTCCCACCAGCAATGTGCATTCCCATCTCTCCACATCCTTACCAACACTTATTTTCTATTTTTTTGATAGTGGCCATGCTCATGAACATGAGGTGGTATCTCATTGTAGCTAACGATCATGATGTTGAGCATCTTTTCTCTTCGTTATTGGCCATTTCTTTTTTTCTTTTTTCTTTTTTTTGGAAAGGTTTTTGCCATAGGGCACATACGCTCGCCAGAAAGAGAGAAACAGAGAGATAGAAAGCGAGAAATCACCCCCCCAGGGGGGATGGCCATGCCGCAATCCCTTCTCCTCCATTCTCCTCTCGGGATCTTGGGCACTCACGCACACGCAACCAGCGTGAGTTTAAGCCACTGGGTCCGGGACGCTAAATGCGGTTGGCTACATGGGAGTCCAGCGACATAGCCATTATGCTAACTGCTGGTCCCAGTTATTGGCCATTTCTATGTCTTTGGAGAAATGTTTGTTCAAGTCCTTTGCCCATTTTTAATTGGGTTGGTGTTTGTTTTGTTGTTGGGTTATGCAAATTTTAAAAATATATTCTGTGTTACCATCTCTTAACACATACGTTTTATAAATATTTTCTCCCATTCCAAGGGTTTCCTTTTCACCTTATTGATTATGTCCTTGGTGCACACAAGTTTCTTTTTCTGATGTAGTTGACGACTTACAGTTTTAATTCATTGACTCTTTAGTTACACACTGAGGTCTAGTAGATACTTTTTTAACAAATTAAAGTCTAGTATAGGAGAAGAAGGCATCTGGGCAGGTTGGATGCTAGACACACAGTGGTCACCTGGGAAATAGGGACTGCACCTAGAGTTCTGTCCCTAGTGACCGGTGACCTCAAGTGTGATTCTCAGCTCTTCTGGTCTGTCATTTTTTCATTCTCATTTGGGAAGTGTGCCCCTTACTTTTGTGAGCCGGGGACTGCCTATCTTAACTAGATGCAAGTAAGGCCTGTGTAGCTCTGAAACAAGTGATGCAGCTGGGAAAGTTCAAAGGCAAAATGAGAAGGACTGTGTTTAACACAGACAGAGTTCTGAAGCCCAGTGCAAATGAGTCTTCTGAGGAGAGCTATATTCTAGAGCCAGAATAGAGAAAGGGGGCGTGATAGGTAGAATGCTAAAGTAATCCCCACTTTCGTCTTTTTAGAGAGATTTTTGTCATAGGCTGTGTATGCTCGCTGGAGGAAAAAAAAAAAAAAAACAGAAAATGAGAAATAACCCCCTGGGGAGATGGCCATGCCAGAATCTCTTCTCCCTCATTCTCCTCTTGGGATTTTGGGCATTAACATACCCATACCCGGTATGAGTTTCAAGCTGTCAATTCCAGGACTTGAACTGTGGTTGACCATGTGAGAGTCCAGTGCCTTAACCACTACACCACCTGCTGCCTCCAACTCCCCCCTTTTTAAATACAGGAGCATAACTCCACCTTTTTTTATTTACCTTTCATTAGTTTTAATCCTTGAGGCATACAGCATCACACAGATTTTGTGTCCAATGGCAGGAAATTTGCTTCAGAACTTAGTACAAACTATGCTGCCATTTCCATGAGCATAAGTAACCTTTCCCTGGCTTAGTTTGGCGGTGTTCATTTTGCCACCAGGAATCACTGTGTTGTTCCTTGCTTTGTATACATAAGCATTTCTGTTGCCTAAATAGCATTCTCTTTCATATCGGCCATAAACTCCTTAATTTTAAGAGCCGTGTGCTCCCCTTGGTTCTTATTTTCGTTTGGAGAGGTTTTTTTTTTGTTTGTTTGTTTTTGCTATAGGGCATGTGTGCTCGCCAGAAAGACAGAGACAGAGAGATAGAAAGCGAGAAATCACCCCCAGGGGGATGGCCATGCCGCAATTCCTTCTCCTCCATTCTCCTCTCGGGATCTTTGGCACGTACACACACTTGCCCAGCGTGAGTTTAAGCCACCAGGTCCAGAACTCGAACCGTGGTCGGCTACATGGGAATTCAGCAACATAGCCATTATGCTAACTGCTGGTCCCTCCCCTTGGTTCTTGAGGCCCCACTTGTAATCAGCAAAAATGGCTTTGGGCCACAGCCTTCCAGACATAGCTGCCTTTTAGAAGTCCTGTCCCCAGGCCTGGGCACTCATTCACTGGGTGTCAGGGGATCATCTCTCCTACATCTCCTCCGTCCCCAAGTAATATTCTTTTTAGCTTGGCAGTTATCAGCTGGGACTGACGAGGTAGGGCTTTCATGTATGAGGAGGAACATGATGAGAAAACTACAGCAAACAGACCCTTTGTGGGAATCAAGGACATTGGGCTCACTTAGTTCAGGTCATTTAGACTGAGAAAGACACCCCTGCGTGGGGAGTCAGTGGTTTCTGGTAGGAGTAAGTTATATGTGGGAGACAGGCAAGCTCAGTAAGTGATGCTGAGAGGTGGCTGGGCTGCTCAGTCACTCCGTACTCAGATATGGTCACAGGCTAAGTGACTGCAGGCACCACACTGCTGTGCCAGCCCCCTTGCAAACTGGTCTGAAGTGCTGACCCAGGGCACGTCAGGCGCTCAGACCCAGTGTTCGTCCTCCACTTGATGATTGCAGTGCTTACTCTGAGACTCTCCCAGCACCGGCACCTGTGACACTGCAGATAAGACTTTGGACCTCCACCTGGTAACTGCATTGCGAAAGCCAGACCTGCTGACGCTAATGATTTCCTCCTAGGACGAGCAATGGGAAAAGCACCGTGATCAATGCCATGCTCTGGGACAAAGTTCTGCCCTCTGGGATTGGTCACACTACCAATTGCTTCCTACGGGTGGAGGGCACAGATGGCCACGAGGCCTTCCTCCTCACTGAGGGCTCAGAGGAGAAGAGGAGCGTCAAGGTGAGGGTGCAGGGCAGCTATCAGCCCTGGGCATGCTGGTAGATTGAGTCTGGGCCCTCTGAGAGGGCAGTGCCTCCTTGTGGTGGAGTATGAGAAACCCTGCTCTTTTTTTTGTTGTTGTTTTTAAGATGGTTTGTTTGTTTGTTTGTTTGTTTTGCCATAGGGTACACTCACTGGAAAGAGACAGATAGGCAGAGAGAGAGAGAAAGTAAAAAAATCACCGCCTGGGGGGATGGCCACGCCACAATCCCTTCCCCTCTGTACTTCTCTCAGGATTCTGGGCATGTACACACATGCATGGATTGGTATGTTTTTCAGGTCGCTGAGTCTAGGACTCAGAGTTGGCCACATGAGATCCAGTACCTTAACCACCATATCACTTACAAGCCAAAGAAACCCTGTTTTGGACAAGCTTTTATGAGGATATGAGAGAGCTTTCAGAAGGACCAGAAGTACAGAGTGCCAGGAATGAGGACCTTGCTGTTCCTGGTGTGTTGCCTCTTTTCATGAATGGGGGCACAGTGTCTGCCTGGCTGCTCCCTGGGGAACTGCCAAGGTTGCTCCTGCATCTGCTGTGATTCTGGCACATCATCTAGGAACTGACACATTCACTTTGCTGAGACTGTTTTTTTGGAGACGTTTTTGCTATAGGGTGTGTGCGCTCGCCAGAAAGGGAGACAGAAAGTGAGAAATCACCCCCCAGGGGGGATGGCCACGCCACAGTCCCTTCTCCTCCATTCTCCTCTCGGGATCTTGGGCATGCATGCACATGCGCCTGGTGTGAGTTTTTAGCCACTGGGTCCGGGACTCGAACCGCAGTCAGCTACATTAATTACTGGTCCTGAGACTTTTTTCTACATTCTTGTTTGGAGTCAATTGTTCATTTTGGTTCTTTGGGACTTACCAACGCAGGGCTGGCCCCATAGGGTAGTAGTTCAGGGAGCTAGATCCTACATGGCCAACTGCAGTTCAGATCTCAGGGCAGTGGTTTGAAAAACATGCTGGGTGCACATGCATGCATGCCAAGAATCCCAACAGGATGGAGAAATGGAGGAGAAGGGATTGTGGCATTATCATTCCTCATCATGAGATGCTTTCTATTTTTCTCTCTCTGTCCCTCTCTGTCCCTCTCTGTCTCTCTCTAGCAAGAACATGTACCCTCTGACAATTAAAAGGAAAAGAATCAGTGCAGATCAGACTTACTTAGGATGTCATCCAGGAAAGAGGGTTACAAGAGGTGTGAAGAAAGTTGGTGATAGTGAACTTTTCACATGTGAAATGAAACAAGAGTGTAGCAGATTAGACGGCAGTCTCGGGCCACTGAGCCATGGCTGAGTGGCACAGGAAACTGGCTGAGTGGCCCTTCGTTGGCCTGATCTTTCTTTCCCTCCCTGCCATCAGACTGTGAACCAGCTGGCCCATGCCCTTCACCAGGACGAGCAGCTGCATGCCGGCAGCCTGGTGAGCGTGATGTGGCCCAACTCTAAGTGCCCACTCCTGAAGGATGACCTGGTGTTGATGGACAGGTAAGGGGGAAAGTGCCTTCTGGGGAGGTCCAAATTGGGAGGCCCCGGCGTGCCATTCTGGATGATGCAGGCTGAGGTCCCCTGGTCCCTGTCCTGGGCCCGTTTGTTAGCACAGCCTTTCAGATGGGCTCTACCAGATCCTCCACTGCTTGGATTCCCTCCAGAGCCTGGCCACTATACTCGTGGGAGTCAGTGACAAACAGAGTACTGTAGCTTTACTTAGACATGCATAAATACAAAACTTCACCTTACTTGTCACCCTCAAGGTAAAATTGCAAGTCGTTACATTTTTATAAAAGTGATGGACACATGTGCTAAGAAAAACAATGAAACTACACACACACTTCCAGGAAGTCTGAAGGATACAGAATGGAAAGTAAAAATCCCCCAGTAAGAGCCAGGCCTCATTTCTGTACTCTCCCTGGCTCTCTTCTTCATGACCTGGTGGCCTCACAAATCCTAGGTGTGTTCCCAGCAGGAAGAATAAGGCTGTTGCTCTGTGTCTGACGATGTTGGTTTACCTCTGCGTGTCACTTTAGCCCTGGTATTGATGTCACCACGGAGCTGGACAGCTGGATTGACAAGTTTTGCCTGGACGCTGATGTGTTTGTGCTGGTGGCCAACTCGGAGTCTACCCTGATGCAGACGGTAACTGCCCTGTCGCCTTCTCCCACACATGCAGGACCTGGCTGGGCAGGTGGCTCACAGGCTGTGGCTGACACAGTCCCTCCTCCACTGACATTTTACCGTTTGTCTAGGAAAAGCAATTCTTCCACAAAGTGAGTGAGCGTCTTTCCCGCCCAAACATCTTCATCCTGAACAATCGCTGGGACGCGTCTGCCTCGGAGCCTGAGTACATGGAAGAGGTTGGTGCTTCCGTGTGGCAGTTTGGGAAACGTAAGCCTGCATGAGCACTGTCTACCCAAGGCTGGTGGTGCACTCCCAGGTGGCATCAGATCTGTGACTTCTCTGGATTAATCTCATTGTCAGAGATTTCCCAGGCGTTCCCTGTGCTGTCTTCAGATTGCTTTAAAAGCTACCCCTCCCCATTCCCATTCCTAGTTGGATCTCCTTTTTTGTCAGCTTCTGAGGAGCATGCCCACTCCATTAATGCATTTTTGTTTGGGGCCAGTGCTCATTTTGGTTCATAAAGAACCAATGTAGGACAGGTTCAGCTTTGAAAAGAGGAATGAATAATTGGTTCCTAGACAGTGTACAACTCCCAACTTTGTATGAATGAAATTAAGAAAAAGGCATCACAGACTAGTACTGTTAGGTGGTAGAGCGTGGGGTCGGCACACAGGCAGACACTGGGCATCGTGACGTGGTACATGCCTTCAGCCTCCTGGTAAACCAGTTCCTCACCTGTGAGATGACTGAGTAGACTTGTCGAGAGGATGGAATCTGTTGAAAGCACCTGAGTAGGCATCTACAATACACTGTTATCATTTTAAGTTCTCAGTAGAGCCTGGAAGGATCGGAATTAGGTGGGATTTGGGGGCTGGCAAATAGCACGGTGGTTAAGGTGGCTGGACTCCAACGTGGCTGACCATGGTTCAGGTCCCAGACCTGGTGGCTTGCTTTTCCCTTTCTTTCTCTCTCTTGTCTTTCTCTGGTCAACTTCAATAAAATAAAATAATGCCAATGAATAAAATAAAAAAAGAATTAGGAGGGATTTTCTAGTGGTGCTCACTTACCTTATATATGAGGCCCAAGAGGATTTGGCATGTCAGAAGATAGAGTCTAGGTTTAGGTTTAAGTTTCTTCGCCTCTAGGTCCTTTACTTCCGGGGCACCAAAGTGAAACATGACATAAGTGCTAACGAGGGCAGTGTGGTGCACGGTTAAGCATTTCTGCTTGTACATGCGTGCAGTCCCTCTTGTGATCTATGCCCCAAGGTTGGCATGCAGCCTTCCCATTGGTCCTGGGAAGCTTGGTGGCTAGGGAGCAGAGAGAGTGGGAGTTAGTTCACCGTATGTGCATTTGTGCCTTTTGAATATCAAGTCATATGAATATGTTACCTATTATTTTTATTTTATGTATTTTTGAGAGATTTTTACTATAGGGCTCATACACTCACTGGACAAAGAGAGAGACAGAAGGCAAAGAATCACCCCCCCAGGAGGGATGGCCACACCACGGTCCCTTCGCCTTCATTCTCTTGGGATTTGGGGCACACACGCACATGTACCTGGCATGAGTCTTAAACCATCAAGTATGGGACTCGAACCGCAGTTGGCCACATGGGAGTCCAGCACCTTAGCCACTATGCCACCTGCTGGCCCCTGTTACCTATTTAAAAAGAGCCAGTGGGGGGGGTCTATGGACTCCATCAGGAGGGGCCCATTGCCCCCACCTTGCTCACATACACCGTTTGCTTGGGCTGCAGGTGCGGCGGCAACACATGGAGCGCTGCACCAGCTTCCTGGTGGATGAGCTGGGCGTGGTGGATCGAGCCCAGGCTGGGGACCGCATTTTCTTCGTTTCTGCCAAAGAGGTGCTCAATGCCAGGATACAGAAAGCCCAGGGCATGCCCGAAGGAGGTAATAATGGGAACAAATTACCTCCTTTTCCCTCGTATTTGGAACACCTGCTCTCATGCTCAGTTAGTCTGTAGAAAATTGTTGAGAATTAGTTGGGGAGAAGAGCCCTAAATGAAAGGCTTTTGTTCTCCAGTCAGTGTCTAGCCAGTATCCACTGGACTTGGCATCTGGATTTGACCAGTTCCTCTGCTGCCTCCGTATTTCCAGACTAATGCAGTACAATTCTCCTAGGGGGCGCTCTTGCAGAAGGCTTTCAAGTGAGGATGTTTGAATTTCAGAATTTCGAGAGGAGATTTGAGGTGAGTCCTTTGATTCTGGCATCTAGCAATTCTGTGCCTCCCCAGTTCTCACTGCTCTGTCCCTGGAGGTGAAACCCAGAGCCTGGCCCTTGGCTGTGGGCCCTGGTGGCCCCTGCCTCCCTCAGTGCCTCTGTCTGTTGCAGGAGTGCATCTCCCAATCTGCAGTGAAGACCAAATTTGAGCAGCACACAGTCCGGGCCAAACAGATTGCAGAGGCAGTTCGCCTCATCATGGACTCTCTGCACATTGCAGCTCAGGAACAGCGGTAAGAGCCCAAGAGCACGGACAGGCAGGGGGTGGTGCTAGGAGACAGCACTGTCAGCCCCACCTTTTAATTATTTTTTTTAAATTTTGCTACAGGGTATGTACACTCATTAGAGACAGAAAAAAAGAGAGAAAGGAGGGAGAGTGAGAAAGCACCCCTTGGGGGATGGCCATGCCACAGTCTCCTCTCCACTTTTGTCTCCAGATTTTGGGCATGGGCGTGTCACACAGACACCTGGCATGTTAGTTAGTTACTTACCTACTTACTTACATTCACTGTACATCAATACAGTATGCAAAATGAGATTTTTCCATCCATATACATTGTATATTGGCTCAATCAAATATATAACCATACATGTTACATCAACAAATAATTAATTTCTTGTTTCTTACATCCCCCCCCCCCGCGATTCCCTACCTCTTACCCTCTGCCAACTCCCTCCCTTCTCCCACACTGTCTCTGGTATATACAGTTGTTTTTCATGCCTTTTTTTTTTTAACATTTATTGATTCACAAGAGATATTAATTAATTTAAAGACTTTCAATAGCAAGCACAGTTGATATATACATATTTATGAACGCATGTTTGACGCACGGCCGGCAAACGACCGGCCACTGAGGACTCGGCGAAGGCGGTGGGATGGGGATATAGAGACCCCACACATGGCAAAGGGCGCGAGAGGCCCATGCGGGTGAAGCGTGCAAGAGAGAACACACCCCCAAGGTGCGACAGTTTAGGTAAACCTCAGTGAATAAAGTGAACATACTATAAAGTAGGATGATTTCTCGCTTTCTGCAGTAGAGAGCTATATTATATATATAGAGAGAGAGAGAGAGAGATGGAAAGAGACAGAATAAGTAGGGTGCTCTAACCTGGCTACACTGGGGAGCAGCAGGGTAAAGTCTGGGCGGAGGGTCTTCAGTGGTCGAAATCCCTGAATGGGGCTGCTCAGAACTTGAATATGGATAGCTGCTGATTGGCTTATCCTGGCTCCTCGTCAGACCTGGGGAGCAGGAAGGTGAAGTCTGGGCAGAGGGTCTTTGGTGGTCAAAATTCCCCGGCATGTTTTTTCAAGCTGCCAGGTCTGGGACTCAAACTGTGCAGTTAGCCATGTGGGATCCAGACACCTTAACCACCATGCTATTGACTGGCCCTGAACTTATTTTTTAAAAACTTTGTTTAGCGAGAGATCAGCAGATGGCGTAATGGTTACGTCGCTGGACTCCAACATAGTTGACTGCAGTTCGAGTCCTGGACCCAGGGACTTAAAACTTGTGCTGGGCATGTGTGCGTGTGTGCCCAAGATCCCAAGAGAAGAATGGAGAAGGGATTGCAGCATGACCACCCCCCCGCCCCAGGGGTGATTTATCGCTTTCTGTTTCTCTGTCACTCTGTGTCTCTGGCCAGCTCACACTTAAAAACTTTTTAGAGAAATTTAAAGTATACAAAATAAAGAGAATAATATTAACACCTTTCTACCACATAGAATTGACAATATTTATTTTATACTATATTGAGTTAAAATAAAACAGGAGAAATGTTAAATACCCTTTGATCCTTTTGTTCTTATTTCAGTGTCACTCTGCCCACATCTCAAAGGCATCACGGTCATAGTTTGTGTTGTCCTGTCACCTGTTTAGAAAGGACTTTTCCCTGGTACCAGCAGTTGACGTAATGGCTATGTCGTTGGACTCCCACGTAGTTGACCGCGGTTCGAGTCCCGGACCCGGTGGCTTAAACTCACGCTGGGCGCATGTGCGTGCATGTCCAAGATCTTGACAGGAGAATGGAGGAGAAGGGATTGCGGCATGGCCATCCTCCCTAGGGGGTGATTTCTCGCTTTTTGTCTCTCTGTCTCTCTCTTTCTGGCGAGCACACGCACCCTATAGCAAAAACCTCTTCCCCCCCCCAAAAAAAAAAAAAAAAAGAAAGGACTTTTCCCCTAACCCTAAAGAGTGTCTGATGCTGCTTTGTATGTGCTGTCGCATGTCCATGCTGTGAGGCTGCCGCACTTCTCATTGGCCATGAAGCTCGGCTTTAGGAACGTTAGCTGTTGTAGCATAGTCCGTTGGGAACATACCTCATTTCCCTATTGATTTTTAGATTGCTTTTATTGTTTTGCAATTGCAAGTCCTACTGCAGTAGGCATCTCGTAACCTTTCTCTTGTGGTCACAGACCCCTTGCACATATTCCTGAGTCCTTCTAGGATTTGTTCCTAGAGGAGCAGCTGTCCTGTCTTAGGGTAGTGCATCTTCAGTTTTACTTTGTTGTTCCCCAGAACGGCTCTGCCCACTCATCCCACCAGTGTTGTCTGTAGGAACTCCCGTTTCCTCAGCTTTCACCAGAACTTCAGACTTAGTCATTTTCACCAGGCTTCTAAATAGAAAGTAGTACCTCTTTTTAATTTCATTTCCTTGATTACTGGTGAGGTTGAGTTTTTGGTTCCCCCCCCATATTAATTTTCAGAGCTTGTTCTAAACGCCTTTAAAACACCCTTCCCGTTCTGTCACTGTGACCACCTCTTCCACATGGAAAACTGAAAAGGAAGTAGTTGGCCACAGTGTCTTGTTCCTGTGGGGAAGTGGAAGGTCCTGTCTTCGGGTCGTCAAGGCAGGATGGCAGATTGGCCCCCTCTTGCTCCTCTGCTTAGTCAGGTGGGGACATGTATCTCCTGACCAGCACTTGTCGCTTTCAGGGTTTACTGCCTGGAGATGCGTGAGGAGCGGCAAGACCGGCTGAGATTTATTGACAAACAACTGGAGCTTTTGGCGCAAGACTACAAATTGCGAATTAAGCAAATTACAGAGGAAGTGGAAAGGCAGGTGAGAAGTTAGGGAAGGAAGCGCTTTGGGAGAGATTTGGGTTCAGAGTAGTCTAAGGTGCTGGAGAAGTGAAGAAACAGACATCCTTATCTTAAGGTGCATCTCAGCCTTCCAGAAGTTGGTTGTGGCCCTGATTCAAGACTGTGGAGCCTCCGCTCAGGTCCTATTGTCCCACTGTTGACCCTGGGCAACTTCCTCTCCTCTGGGCCTCCTCCATGAATCAGATGGGTGGGGTCAGTCAATTTCTTGGGTCCTTCTGCCTCAAAGCTTTAGTCCCATTAATCAGCCGAGGGGCCCGCTGGAAGGATGTACAGTCCATCAGAATCTCTTCTGGTGCAGTAGAACTGAGCCACGTTCTTGCTTGATCCTTAACAGCTTCTTCTGCCGTAGGTGTCAACTGCAATGGCCGAGGAGATCAGGCGCCTCTCTGTGCTGGTGGACGAGTACCAAATGGATTTCCACCCTTCCCCAGTAGTACTCAAGGTTTATAAGAATGTGAGTCACGAAGCAGCAGGTTCTCTGGGCAGGGGTCCCGGCAGCAGTTCTGCCCTGGCTGGTCTGTGTCAGCTCCCTGGGCAAGTAGGAGGAGAAGCCAGGGAGATAAGGCTCAGGCTGTCCTCCGCCTTCTGTGGTCACCTGGTGGTGTGGGCTCAGGGCTCTCCTGGCGAGGTGCTGCTTCTCTTACCCTTCCCTTGTGGTCGCAGGAGCTGCACCGCCACATAGAGGAAGGACTGGGCCGAAACATGTCTGATCGCTGCTCTACGGCCATCACCAGCTCCCTGCAGACCATGCAACAGGACATGATAGGTCAGTGCCACAGGGGCACCTGGGACCTGGGGCTCTGGGCTGCCAGAGGTCAGATGCAGAGGCCAAGCTAAAGAAATGATGATCTTTGCTCATCTGTCACCTCTTAACAATGATTCAACTTGATACCCTCGGGTTCTGGGTCTGTGCTGTGAATTCATTCTTTGTTGACTTGGGGTGCCCATCATGTGTAACTTTTAGGACTATTGGGCTGAGAGTTTGGCCTGTGCTGCAAATCCACACGAGGCATAGCTCTTGGCAGGGGTGAGGTCTCAGCCTGGACCCCCTGGGAGGAGCTGGCCTGCCTGCCGCGAGTGAGGCATCCCCACTCACGCAGACTGACTCATTTGCAGGGTGGGTTCTGGGCAGAACTGTTCCCGTCCTGGCAGAGGCTGGCACGGCCCTCATTCTGGAGGCTTGGCAGTGGTATGGCACAGGGCTGAGCCAGTGTGTTCTCTCCCCTCTGTCCCTGGCAGATGGCTTGAAACCCCTCCTTCCTGTGTCCGTGCGGAATCAGATTGACATGCTGGTCCCTCGCCAGTGCTTCTCCCTCAGCTACGACCTGAACTGTGACAAGCTGTGTGCCGACTTTCAGGAGGACATCGAGTTTCATTTTTCTCTTGGGTGGACCATGCTGGTGAATAGGTTCCTGGGCCCCAAGAACAGCCGTCGGGCCCTGATGGGCTACAATGACCAGGCAAGCAGTTTCTCACCTCCGGGGCATTGTGGGCAGTCAGTCTGCACCCAGCCTCCAGGCATCCGAGCCGTGTAAACTGGAGGTTCCCGAGGCTATCGGTGTGGTATCGTGCGTGCCATTATGCAGTACAGCACAGTCACGCTTTTTGCCACAGATCCACCCGGCCTGTGCTTGGCAATGTTCGTGAGGTTACAAATGCTGGCTATATGTTTTTTTCCTAGTACACATTAAAGTAAGTACATAACTGCCAAAAGCAGATGGTTTTCCAAATGTCCATCTGTATAGCACGATGGTAAGATCTGGATGTGAAAGCCCACCTCCCACCCACCCTCATTACCATTATAAGATCTGGATGTGAAAGTCCACCTCTCCTCCGCTCCCATTATCATCATAAGATGTGGATGTGAAAGCCCACCTTTCATTCATTCCCATTAGCATCGGAAGATGTGGATGCGGAAAGCCTACCTCTCCTCCACTCCGCTCCCCTTTACCATCGTAGGATATGGATGTGAAAGCCCACCTCCCACCCACTCTCGTTACTGCGCTGTTGCTCTTTCTGCCTGGCCCAGGCTGTAGGAATATACTGAGGCCTGCATGGTCATGCTCACATCCTAGGGTCCCACAACCCCCACCTTTAGGCAACAGGTTTGCACGGAGCTCATTTTCTTCTTTTTGCCTTCTGGATGTGGAAGAGCCATCCTCTGTGACCTATACTAGCTCGCTGAGCCTTAAGGGACACCGAGACCTGCCATGTTTTCTCGGCCTTGCTTCCTCTGCAGGTGCAGCGTCCTGTCCCTCTGACACCAGCCAACCCCAGCATGCCCCCACTACCACAGGGCTCACTCACCCAGGAGGAGCTCATGGTTTCCATGGTGACAGGCCTGGCATCCCTGACGTCCCGGACCTCCATGGGCATTCTTGTTGTTGGAGGAGTGGTGAGTGACAAGTCCTGCTCGGGAGGTGGGAGTGGAGGGCAGGCGGGTGCGGACTGAGAGGCTCAGTTCTGGTGGTTGTCCCTGTGCTAGCCCAGCTCTTCCCAGAGAGCTGAGTGTTTTCTCTTCTCTCAGTGACACTGTTCACTGCGGTCTTGTGCGAGCTATGTGGCCTGAGCCCTTTCACATACATTTATTGACTTAATTAAGCCATACTCAACTAATAGGACTTTCGAATAGCACCATTCCCATCCCCTAGATGAGGGAATGGATGCAGTGGATTGCCAAGGACACAGCTGGGACTTGAACCTGGCCCCATCTGACTAGGACCATGTTCTTTCCCCTGTAGGGCCTATAGTAGGTGGGGGCAAGAAGTGCTCTGAGGCATTGCACCTGGGATCTAGAGAGGTGGGTGTGAAAGGAGGAGCTTCTCATTTTGGAGAGTTTTTTTTTGTTTTTTTGGGGGTTTGTTTGTTTGTTTGTTTGTTTGCTATAGGGCACGTGTGCTCGCCAGACAGACAGAGAGAGACAGAGAGACAGAAAGCGAGAAATCACCCCCCAGGGGGGATGGCCATGCTGCAATCCCTTCTCCTCCATTCTCCTCTCAGGATCTTGGGCACGCACGCACACGTGCCCGGCGTGAGTTTAAGCCACCGGGTTCAGGACTCAAACCGTGATTGCCTACGTGGGAGTCCAGCGACATAGCCATTACGCTAACTGCTGGTCCCGTGGAGGAGCTTCTCATTTTGGAAGTGAGGAAACCGAGAACAAAACTCGCAAGGGCCAAGCCAATTCCCCATTTCTGGGTTTTGTCACCCTTTCTTTCATACCCCAAAGCCTCGCATAGCAGGCTGCCTTCCTGATAATGGGGTACTCCCTGTGTCCTGACAGATGCACTGCAGTTGGAGTCATTTATGCCTAGGGTTTTCTCGGTACTGTGGGCAAGTTCGCTCCCTTGTTGTTGACCTTTGAGTGGTGGAGTGGCAGTGGGGTGTAACTGTAAGGAAAACCGCCAGGAACTGCACCCCAGCTTATAGGACCAGGCGGGACAGATCCAAGCCCCCTTCTAGGCTGCAGGTGGCATAGGCTCTGGTTCTTCTCACAGATGGTGACTTGGCAGAGGTTACTGTCCAGTGACTTGCTGACACTGACCCTGGGTAGGAAGTCCTCTGCAGCCTGTCGCTCTGAGAGGACAGGAGTACACCAGCCCAGTTTTCCCTGTCTGCTCACTCAGCAATCAACATCAAAGGCTTCTGTGACCAGCGATGTGGGAGTACTCTGCTCCACACCAAGCTAGTATTCAGTTCTGAGCAGACACCTGCTGGGCATCCTTCCAATTTAATTCTGACCCTGTCCACCTGGAGATAGGGTCAGATGCTGTGGGCTGTGTCATGCAAGGCTGCCCCCCATATCTGATGCCAGTGGCAAGCCCCAGGTGGTTGTGCCTCTGTTTCTCACAACTAACTATATATATCCAGGATCCCAGGAACCCCCTCCATGGCTTTGAGTAATTTACTAGAGCAAAGGCCAGACCCATAGCCTAGTGGTCCCACACAGCCAGCTATCCAAATCTGGCCCTGGTGGCTTTGCAAAGCCCACCAGGTGCATGTGTGTGTGTGTGTCCCAAATCCTGAAAGGATAGAGATGGAAGAGAAGGGATTTTGGTGTGACCACATCCCATTGGGAGGGTGCTTTCTCCCTCTCCCTCTGTCTCCCTGGTCAGTGTACATGCCCACTGGCAAAATTTTAAATATTTTGTCAGGGCCAGCAGATGGTGTGGTGGTTAAGGCACTGGACTCCACATGACTGACTGTGGTTTGAGTCCTGGACCTGGTGGCTTGCTTTCTCCCTTTCTCTTCTCTCTTGCTCTCTGGTGAGTGAGTGTGTCCTATATCAAATTTTAAAAAATAATAATTGAATAAGTAATTTTTTAAGAGTTTTTGCTATAGGAGTGTGCTTGCTGGAGAGGCTGACAGAGACACAAAGCGAGAAATCCCCCCTTCTTGGGGGAGGATGGCCACACCGCAGTCCCTTCTCCATTCAGCGAGAAATCACCCCCAGGGGGGGTGGCCAGGCTGCAACCCCTTCTCCTCTGTTGTCCTCTAGGGATCTTGGGCACGCATGCACACATGCCTGGTGTGAGGTTTTTTTTTTTTTTTTTTTTTTTTTTTTTTGAGAGGCTTTTGCTATAGGGCGTGTGCACGCGCCAAACAGACAGAGAGAGACAGAGACAGAAAGCGAGAAATCACCCCCCCAGGGGGATGGCCACGCCACAATCCCTTCTCCATTCCTTTGGGATCTTGAGCACACACTCACATGTGCCCGGCGTGAGTTTAAGGCACCGGGTCTGGGACTCGAACCATGGTTGACTATGTGGGAGTCCAGCGACATAGCCATTACACTAACTGCTGGTTCCCTGGTGTGAGTTTTAAGCTGCCGGGTCTGAGACTCGAACTGCAGTCGACTACATGAAGTCCAGCGATGTAACCATTCTGCTGGTCCTCCTTTTACACCCAACTCTTTAGACCCCAGGTGCAATGCCTCACTACAGGCCCTACAGGGGAAAGAACAAAAAAATTTTAGCCAGAGCAGCTCATGGAACTCAAGGAAACATGTCTTCCAGTTTATTACAAAGGATACAAACGAAGAGACACATAGGACAGGGCATGTGGGAAGGGACATGCGCATCCGTGCCTTCTCCAGGCATGTCACTACAAAGGATACAAACGAAGAGACACATAGGAACAGGGCATGTGGGAAGGGACATGTGCATCCGAGCCTTCTCCAGGCATGTCATCCTCCAGGAACCTCGACAGTTGTCAGGAAGCTCCCTGTCCTTTCAGGTGTTTACGGAGGCCTCATTTACCTAGGAGGGATTGATTAATAAGTCATTGGCCATTGGTAATGCACTTAACCTTCTGCCCTCTTCTTTGCCCCAGAGGTAGGGGGAAATGGGGCTGAACGTCCCAATCCCCCCTTTTTTATCTTTAAGAATTATTTATTTAACTTTATATGTTATTATTATTTTTTAATCTGCTGTAGGGCACATGTGCTCACCAGAGACAGAGAAAGTGGGAAAGAAAGCAAGCCACTAGGTCCGGGACTCGAACCACACTTGGCCATGTGAGGGTCAAGCACCCTAACCACCATTGCATCTGCTGGCCTCCATGCTAATCGCTAATCCTACCTTGGACTTTCTGAAGACCAGCCCCCACCCTAAGGACTGCCGGTCACCAGTCATCTCATTAACATACAAAATGAAATTTACCACTTTGAAGAGTTCAAGGATTTTAGGAGTTGTATGCCAAGAAACAGGAGGACAGCCAAGTATATACATCACAGTATTGTAGGGGGTCGTTGTGTAGTAGTTTGGTTCAAGGCAGTGTGGTTCGTTCACAAAGTGGCTTGTGGCCTATACCGATTCATAGACTCATTTGGGTAAAGTGAGTATGATGTCCACAGTGAGGACACAGGTGCAAGACACTTGGCTGAGGTCATGCTGCCAGGATAGCGGCCGTGCAAGGGTGGCCGCGCTCTTTGACAACCACCACAGTGCCTTGAACTGAACTGCTGCGTGCCAGACCGAGAGAGGCTGTCTGCTGTGTGGAATTCTGCTCGTCAGTATTCAGAGGGGACACTGCTCGAGGACATGCCGGCATTTATCTGAGAAGTCTGCATCCCCAGATCTGGGCTCTGGTCCTAACCCTCACTTTGCATAACTCATGTCACGTGGCCAGCACCAAGTTGCCCTCGCTTTAAACTGTTCATGTGCCTACCCATCTGGCCTCAGGGAGCAAAGGAGACATTGAAAGATGGGCTCTGAATAGGCATTCACAGAAAGGCTCCTTGCCTGGGGCTTGTGGAACAATTTTGGTAGTGACAGTCCCAAGAGGACGTGTGGTAGGGGTGGGCTCACAGAGGCTCGGCCCCAGGTGACCACGTGTCTCTGCAGGTGTGGAAGGCGGTGGGCTGGCGGCTAATCGCCCTCTCCTTTGGGCTCTATGGCCTCCTTTATGTCTACGAGCGTCTCACCTGGACCACTAAGGCCAAGGAGAGGGCCTTCAAGCGCCAGTTTGTGGAGTATGCTAGTGAGAAGCTGCAGCTCATCATCAGCTACACCGGCTCCAACTGCAGCCACCAAGTCCAGCAGTGAGTGACCCCATCAGCCCTGGGTGAGGACGTTCCTCCAGTTGGGGGGCAGCCCTGGCCTCTTCCACCCTGGCCTAGAAGCCACTGGCTCCCTGGTATCGTGAACCTTGAGGGCTCAGTTCTGCAGGGCAGGGGGTCTCTTAGGGGTACTTTGTCCAAGCCTGGGACCAGGTCTCTGGTTCCCCAGAAGAGCAAGAACTGGGAAGATGAGGGACAGTCCTAATGGAAGTTTTAGAAGGTTGCCTTGAGGGATGTGGTCGTGGACGCAGCTCTGACATTCTAGACCACAGCTGTTGTTTCTGCCCCTCCTAGGCCAGGTCAGGGCTGTGGCACGCTCTGGGTGTGCTGCTAGCCTCCTATCATTTCATGCTGTGCAGCAGGCCCTTCACTAGGCCTCCTGCCCCTAGTTTTTCATTTACTCCTTAACTCCCTTAGGTAGATGTTGTTTCCCTGGCTTTTTTTTTTTTCTTTTTCTTTTTTCTTAATTTGCCAGAGGGCACATGTACTCACCAGAGAGAGAGAGTGAGCTAGAGGAAGTGGGAAAGCACCCCACGGAGGGTGGTCATTCCACAATCCCTTCTCCTCCATCGGTCCCTCGTTTGGGATTTTAGGTTTGCACACACATTCACCCAGCATGTTTTTCAAACCACCAGGTCTGGGACTTGAACCATACGATTGGCCATGTGGTAACCACCATGCCACGAGCTAACCCTACATCTCTTTTTTCAAAATGAGGAAACTGATGGGCCAGCAGATGCCATGAAGATTAAGGTGACTGGATCCCACATGACTGACTGTGTGGTTTGAGTCCCAGAGGCTTGAAAATCACACCAGGTGTGTGTGTGCATGCCAGACACCCACAGAGGAGAATGGAGAATGGTTTGCAACTTGGCCGTCTGCCCTGGGGAGTGCTTTCACACTTTCCCTTTCTCCTCTAAGTGCATGTACATTATAACAAAATAAAAAACAAAAACAAAATGAGGCTAGGCCTGAGGAACAGTTATTTCCCCCCCACCCCCGCCTCGGCCAGTGAGCAGCAGAGCCAGCATCTGAGCCCTCGTCTATCGTGGCCAAGCCCTGGGGTACGCTGCCGAGTTACGGCTTCCCCGACTGCTGATACTGAGTGTGTTGGGGTGTTTCAGCAGCAAGTAGGAAAGGTTCTGCCAAGCCAGGACTGGTGCAGGACAGAGTGCCAGCAGGATGCTCAGGGCGAATTGAGCACCGATGGCGCCCTGTGCAAACAGCCTGTGTGCCCTGTCGATCCTGCCTTTTCCCCCGGTTGCAGGGAACTGTCTGGGACCTTTGCTCATCTCTGCCAGCAAGTTGATGTAACCAGGGAGAATCTGGAGCAGGAAATTGCCGCCATGAACAAGAAAATTGAGGTTCTTGATTCACTTCAGAGTAAAGCCAAACTGCTCAGGTGAGGCTGCCCGGGTGACTGTGGCCAGGGGCTCCAGCATGCTGGGGCTCAGTGGCTTGTCTTGTGTCTTGGATGTGGACACAGACTTCTGGTGGGGACTTAGCTCACTGGCATGTTGCTGTTTCCCAGCACTTGCCAAGTGTCAGGTGGTGCCCGCAGGAGGCTCATCAGGAGGCAGGGCCGCTGCCTCAAGGCACTTGCAGTTGGGCATGGTGACTGCCCAGGTAGCACACGTGAGCACACCTCACAGGCCCCTCTGCTGTCCCTTCTGTCCCTCAGGCACTTTGCCTGGGCTGTCCCGCTATGTCTTTAGGACTCTTGAGAGTTGTATCCTCAGCACCATTTTAGAAATGTGATGTTTGGTGTCTACAGAGGTCAAGTAACTTGTCTGGAATCCCACAGTAAATGACTAGGCGAGGAGCAGAGTCCAGGCGTGCTTGGCCCCAGTGGCCTCTGCATTCTCTGCATTCATGCTTTTTGTGCTGTGTGAGACCCACTGCACACACATAGCTTAGTTTTTCCTCTTTCTTTTTGTTCTAATTTAATTTTTTAAAGAGATTTTTATCTTAGAGTACGTGAGCTCCTTGGAGAGACAGAGACAGTGAGAGGGAAGCTGGGAACTCACCCCTCTGGGAGGATGGCCACATTGCAATCCCTTCTTCATTCTCCTCCTGGGATCTCGGGCACATGCACACATTCCCCCAGCGTGATTTTCAAGCCACTGGGTTCGGGACTCGAACTGTGGTCGGCCATGTGGGAGTCCAGCAATGTAACTGCTATACCATCTACTGGCCCCTCTCTCTCTTTTTAATCACCAGAGGGCACATTTGCTTGTCTGCCACAATCCTGTGTCCACCATTTCTGCCTTGTTGGGATTTGGGGGCACACAGGCATACCTACCCAGTGTGTTCTTTTTTTTTTTTTTGAGAGGTTTTTGCTTGCGTGTGCTTGCCAGAAAGACAGAGAGAGACAGAGGTAGAAAGCGAGAAATCACCTCCCAGGGGGGATAGCCACGCCGCAATCCCTTCTCTTCCATTCTCTTCTCGGGATCTTGGGCACGCATGCACACGCGCCCGGCGTGAGTTTAAGCCACCGGGTCCAGGACTTGAACCCTAGTCAGCTACATGGGAGTTCAGTGACATAGCCATTATGCTAACTTCTGGTCCCCCCAGTGAGTTCTTGATCGGGCTAGCTATTGAAACCACAGTCACCAAGTGGGATCCAGCCTCTCTTGGGCTGCATGTTACTGCTGTGCCATGGAGCAGGCCCTAACAGAGTCTTAACACCTCAGTCCACGCCTAGCGTCAGCATCGTGGATCCTGGTCACACACATGCCTGGTGTACTCAGGGCATTCTCTGGACCTGAACCTGGGATCTTCTGATGTGGGTCAGCTTTGCAGAGAGTTGGATTTAACTGCTGCACCACCATTCGGCTCCTGGTTTCTTTTTGAGCCCATGAAGTGGGCATAGCACCATGTTTACCTGCAGGGAAGCTAGTTACATAGCCAGGACTGGAACCAGGTCTCATAGGGTCTCTGTCGAAATGCAGAGCTTCCAGTAATGCTTTGCTAGAAAGAGCATCAATCTGAGCAGTCAGGAACACTGGGTTCTAGTCCATCCATGCATGCTTGTACGCCTCATTGTTTTCACCGTAAAAAGGGAATAAAATTTCATGACATAGCCACAGAGATGAACATTAAAGTGCTCTGCAAAAGTCCAAGACATGTTCAGTTCACGATAACATCAGTACTTGGGGACCTTGTACTTCCTGCCCCCGCCCCTGACGTCAGGGACCTGCAGGGTGGCAGAACCAAAGAGGAGATGCATCAAAGGCTATCAGCTCCCGCCCCCTCAGCAGATCAGTGGACTTTCCCTTCTCTTGACTCTGCAGATGTGCCCCACCCCATCCACCACCCTGGGCAGCTGTTTCCTCGGGAGCTCCTGGGGTGGGGGTGGGGGTGTCTACTGCTACTTGTCAGTCTCAGGGGCAGGGCCAAACCTACAGAGGTCCCTGTATCAGCACTCCAGGGCCCCGCTTGACGAGCAGGAAGACAGACTTCCCTGCAGTTTCTGGCCTGCCCATGGTCTTGGGAGAAACAGGCACAGAGCTGGAGAGTCAGAAGAGCCCTAGTCTGTGACCAGCAGTTAGTATAATGGCTATGTCGCTGGATTCCCACGTAGTCGACCGTGGTTCGAGTCCCGGACCCGGTGGCTTAAAACTCACGCCAGGCATGTGTGCGTGCATGCCCAAGATCCCGAGAGGAGAATGGAGGAGAAGGGATTGCGGCGTGGCCATCCCCCCTGGGGGGTGATTTCTCGCTTTCTGTCTCTATATCTCTCTCTGTCTGTCTGGTGAGCACACGCGCCCTATAGCAAAAACCTCTACGTTCTAGTCCATCCATGCATGCTTGTACGCCTCATTGTTTTCACCGTAAAAAGGGAATAAAATTTCATGACATAGCCACAGAGATGAACATTAAAGTGCTCTGCAAAAGTCCAAGACATGTTCAGTTCACGATAACATCAGTACTTGGGGACCTTGTACTTCCTGCCCCCGCCCCTGACGTCAGGGACCTGCAGGGTGGCAGAACCAAAGAGGAGATGCATCAAAGGCTATCAGCTCCCGCCCCCTCAGCAGATCAGTGGACTTTCCCTTCTCTTGACTCTGCAGATGTGCCCCACCCCATCCACCACCCTGGGCAGCTGTTTCCTCGGGAGCTCCTGGGGTGGGGGTGGGGGTGTCTACTGCTACTTGTCAGTCTCAGGGGCAGGGCCAAACCTACAGAGGTCCCTGTATCAGCACTCCAGGGCCCCGCTTGACGAGCAGGAAGACAGACTTCCCTGCAGTTTCTGGCCTGCCCATGGTCTTGGGAGAAACAGGCACAGAGCTGGAGAGTCAGAAGAGCCCTAGTCTGTGACCAGCAGTTAGTATAATGGCTATGTCGCTGGATTCCCACGTAGTCGACCGTGGTTCGAGTCCCGGACCCGGTGGCTTAAAACTCACGCCAGGCATGTGTGCGTGCATGCCCAAGATCCCGAGAGGAGAATGGAGGAGAAGGGATTGCGGCGTGGCCATCCCCCCTGGGGGGTGATTTCTCGCTTTCTGTCTCTATATCTCTCTCTGTCTGTCTGGTGAGCACACGCGCCCTATAGCAAAAACCTCTACAAAAAAAAAAAAAAGAACCCTAGTCTTAGCTCTCTCGCTTATTAACCTCGTGGCCTTGGCAAGTTATTGGACTTCTCTGGGCCTCCTTTTCCTCGGCTATAAAATGGGGATATACAGGTTTATTGGAGTATTACATGAGAATGTGTCTCAAGTGTCCTTAGAGTGCTGCTTGGCAGGTGTTGCTAACGATGCCTTGTTATCAGCTGTTATTACAAAAAAGCCATTTTTTTGCAGGAATAAAGCTGGCTGGCTGGACAGTGAACTGAACATGTTCACACACCAGTACTTGCAGCCTAGCAGATAGTGGGCAGTCCGGAGCAGAGCTGCATGGAGGAGGGGCCGTGCTGCCAGTGTCAGCGCCGCAAGAGTGAACGCCCACTGTCTCATGCCGTTTTGAGCCCTTCAGTGCTAGTTATTTATCCCCTCCTTCACCTGCTATTGCAGGAAGATCTGGCTCAGACCCTCAAGGTGGCTTTTAGCAATGACTAAGGACTGCATGGTACCAGGGAGTTAAGTTGAGGCTCTTTGCTTCATTGGGTTCAGTTGACAAAGTCTTGGGACACCAGCATTGCCGAACGACTGATTGAGGCCCTCAGGAGTATCAGGCAGACACTCCACCTTCCTCTGGCCTGCACACCTGCCTGTTCTACTCCAGCATGCCTACAGCAAGGCTTTGGCAGGGCTGTCTGGATTTTTCTTCCCAGAGGCACTGGAAACAGTTCCAGAAAGGCTGGATCTATTGTGGAAGGACTGGGGGTTCGTGTCCGTTTGGTCCTTCAGCTTTAATGCTTCGTGCTCTTGCAGAGCCTTTCAGACATGACTGCTGGCGAGTGCAGTATGGCTCGGGCTGTAGCCTGAGGCAGGCCTGTGCACAGGCAGAGGGAAGATGCTGCCAAGGTGGCTGGAGTAGTGAGTAGCTCAGAGGAGAGGGGTGTGGCGGATCTGTTGGGTTTGTGTGGTGCTATTGGAGCAGGTGAGCATCACCATGACCAGGAGGGACCTTCCTCCCTTCTTGTCCTTGTGTCCCTTGCTCGTTTCAGTCGTGGACCTGTGGAGTCCTGCATTATTATTGGTGAGAGATGTCCGGTCCAAGAGGCTAGAGGATGTAGTAGAGGGAAGGATGGCGGAAGTGGGGACCTTGGCAATAGGAGGGAAGTGGGCACAGCTTAGGATGGCCAAAGAGGGTGGAGTTGGCATAGAACATGGTCCTGTGTTTGACCTTGATCTGTGAGGGGCTCCTGGGCCGCAGAGCCCCCACCCCACTGGCTTGATTTCATTCACTAGAGACCTCTGGAAAGACATATCCCATCCCCCCAGCCCCGCCTTGCCCTAAGCTGCCCCCAGTCCTCTGGGCTGCTTCCTGTGACAGTGACTCTGCAGTTGGCTGAGCATATGGGAACCAGCACTGTCCTCCCTCCCTCCCTGGCCAGGGCCTCCAGCAGACACACTTTGGCCTCATGTTCACTCTAAGAAATGTTTCCTGTTGTTGAGTTTTGGAATTGTTAGTGGTTGAAGTGGGGGCAGTTCCTGTCACCAGGGTGCTAACTGTCTGGGAACAGCAGCACTGGTGTAAGAGCCTTGCAGTGCAGGTCAGAGAGCTTCCCAGAAGCCAGCACCACCTCTCTCAGAAAGGAGCCCACAGGGCTGGGGCTCAGCACGGAGACGGAGTTTTGTTCTGCCTGGTTTTGAACCTGTCAGTCTTCGTGGAAGTGAGTTGATGGCCTCTGAGTGCTAGTGGGTGGCCACACAGGAGACTTCCTCTTTATATACCTGCGTATCCTACAGTCCCTCGGTCTGCCCATCGTGTAGGACACAGTGATGGCCTCCGCCAAGGCTGACGTGCAGAAGGGGACACCCTGAGCACCTTGGCAGGCCTGGGTGGATGGGCATTGCCTCCCAGGTGTCAGGAAGCCACTGTCACACAACTCCAATGAATTCTGTGCTCTTTTTGGAAAAAAATTTTGAATAAACATAAATTTTCTCAATGTAGCCCCTGGGGAATGAATGAAATTTTAGACTTCTTATAAATTAAATATATACCACCAAGGGAGAGACCCTTTCTGAAAGAAGTGTGGCAGAAAGCACTTTAATTTGATGCTGCTAACTTTGTTCTCTGTTTCCATGTTCATTTGCTGGTGTGCAAGACCTGCTTGACACAGTGGGTTTCCTCTCAGATGTATTTAAGGTGACATATTTGCCTGAATCACTCCCGTATTACTGGTGATAATATTGGAAACTAAAATAAAACCTAGTTGGAAACCTCTGGGGATCTCTGCCTCGTCATTTCACTGGGGTCGTGTACTTTTCTTTGATAGAGCCAAGTCCTCAAGGTTGTATTTTATTTTTTCCATGAGTGAGTACGCAGGTGTACTTGAGAGAGCATGGTACTCCACACAGGGTCCCACACAGGGCTACACTCCCAGCCAGTCCTGGACTTGAACTGAGAACCTTCCCTTATAGAGGGAGGGTAGCATTTTACCACTGTGCTGTCTGATCCCGACTATAGTCTGAAGTGACTTTAACTTGGTTTGGGGGAAGTTCCCACTCTAATCTGCCCATGGGTTCTTCCTCAGTCTGACAAGGAATCTGACACTCTCAAAAGAACAAATGGCGTAACTGATCTGTAAGGACCAGGAAATCTAGAGTGATTTCTTGACAGATTTCTCTATAACTTCAAACCATTGTTCATAATCAGTAAATGACTCAGACTGGTCCACCCTACTTTGTCTTCTGAGAATTTGGTTGTGACCTTTCTTTTTTTCCCCAAGGGCCCTGGAGCAGATAAAGGCATGACTGACCAGTTTTCCTGCCCCTCCACATGCTGTCCCCCTGATTGGCACCACCACCCCCTACCCTGCTCGTCTGTCCATTTTCAGAGCTCTGCTGACGGCAACCTCATCCAAATTCCCCAGTCAGAAACGTGGCTACTCTCTGGCCCCCGCTCGGCTGTATTTTCGAGTTCACCGGTACGTGTGCTCTATCTAAGCTGTCTCTGTCCTCGAAATCTGTCTAAGCCCTGCCTACTTCCCCCATTCCTATTATAACCACCCTAGGCTGACCCAGATTCCTGCCTCCCGCCTGTCCCCTCCGCCCACCCTTGGCCTCTTATTTCTATTTCAAGGCAAACCTTCTCATACATAACTCAGCTTCCTACTCCTCTACTCAAAATGCTGCTGTGGCTCCCTGCCTCACCCAGAGCGGAGGCCCAGGTCCTTGCAGGGACCCACTGGGATCCAGCCCCACACTGCCTCTCCACTGCCCTGCTCCCCCTGCTCTCTAGCCACTTGGGCTCTTTGCTGTTCCTTGAAGCTACTAAGCACACGCTCTCCTTAGGGCCTCTGCCCCTCTCCTTGGCTACCCTCTGCCTGTCCTTCCTGATATGGCCACAGCTAACTAGCTCCTTTACCCCTGTGTGTCTGTCCGGTGAGGTCTCCCAGACCACCCCTTTTTAAGTCCCCTCCCCTTTCCCACCCCTGGCTCTCTGGAGTCCCCTTGCCCTGCAACATGTTTTCTAACAGTCACCATCTAACTTGTGCTGGGACATACGTTCTGCAAGGCTGAGGTTTTTGTTTTGTTGGCTGATACCTACCGAACATCTGGGCCAGCACCTTGCACGGATTGGATCCCAGTAAAACTGTCGTAGGGATGAACCTCGTCCTGGTAACAGCCCACACATTCATCGAGCCTCTGCACTGGGAGACAAATGCTATTGGGGACCGCTTATGGTAGACATAGTACCAGGGACTTTTAAGTGGGCTATGTTCTCAGTACTTAGCATTTTTAACTCCATTGCGAAAACAGGCTCAGAGAAGTCAGGACCAGCTGAAATCCCAGCAGCCGAGGGGTGGGGGAGCAAAATGGGGATGACAGAGCTTAGGTGTGAGCCCAAGTATTTATTTCTCAAAGCCCAGTGACTTTTAAACTTGATTTTGCCTTAACCCATAATTATATATTGTGATCCGGGACACACATACTTGCAAAATTTAATGAGAAGATATAATATGTGTGAGTTTATTTTGGTACACAAAAATTTGAAATCCATGCAGTTTTTTCATAATACACATTTTCTTTTTTTTAAAAAAAGTGCTATGGGGTACATGCGTTTGCCAGACAGAGTCAGGGAGAAGGAAAAAGAAATCATCCGGAGGGCTGTGCTGCAGTCCCATCTCCATTCTCTTGGGATTTGGGGCAGGCACACACATGCATCTGGTGTTTTTTACAAGCTGTCAGGTCCAGGACTTGAACCATGCTGTCGGGCATGTGTGGGATCAGCTGCCTTAACCTCCATGACACTTGCTGGACCCAAAGTATACATTGTCTATGATCATTCTGAAGATTTTTCATGTGTGTGTAAGCAAAACTAAATTTAATCACTACCTTGTCCTGCAATACCAAGTAATTTCTGTCATTATTAAGAAGCCATATACGATCCCCTGAATTTTTCCCCCACTGGTCCTGGATGATGACCCATAGGTTGAAGAGGGGGGGCTCTACACCTTGTTGTTGCACTCAAACACTGATTAATTTTTGTTTTTATTTCTCTTTGAGAAGGATTATTTAATTTATTATTATTTTAAAATTTGATGAGAGAGAAAGAGGGAAAGTGAGAAAGCAAGCTGCCAGGTCTGGGACTTGAGTTGTGGTTGGCCATGTAAGAGTCCAGCACCTTTAGCCACCATGCCACCTGTTGACCCACTGGTTATTTATTTATTCCCAGGCAAGGGCAGGCTCATTCCTGTGGTTTCTTAAACTGTTTCTCCTGCCCTCTGGAAGTTCTGGGGAATTTGGGAGGCTGCGAATTTCAGCCTGCCGCTAACAAAGTCCCCATTTAATCACAAAAAGTATGTAGCCAGGAATGTACCACTCTTCCAAGTACTAGTTAGACAGCCCTGGCAGCCTGATCTGGGAGATTGTCCGGTTAGTACAGGATTGCCTGAGCAGGGACCTTCCCGCAGAAGTCAGTTAGGTGTCCTCTGTCCTCAAGAGCATGGTTTTCGCTCTCCAAAACTCTTAGGCCATCAGGGCCATGGTTTTCCTTGTCTGAGAGTCTCTGACTTGAGAACAGAACAGCCTTGGACAGGGGTAGTTGTGGACCTGGTGAGAGGTGGTCAGGTTCTGGATATCTTTTTTTTT